TTCATGACTTCTATAAACTTATAAGACTCACCGTAAAACTCTCCAGAAAGTTTCTCTGAGGTCTATACTACATTTGTACCAAATTTGGTGTCGATCCGAGGTCTGGTTTGAATTCTAGAGTAATATTCTACATTGTTGTTGATGTGATTTTTTTTTTTTTTAAGAAGGGGGGGGTGAGGTGAATTATTTATTTTATGCCTCTTTTAAACTACGAATTGTAACTACTTCCACATCCTTAAGCCTTATTGTGACCTTTGAGTCAAGGTCAAAGGTCAAGATCATTCAAAAAAAAAAAAAAAAAAAAAAAAATCTTTACTTTCTGTATTTTTACCTGATACTGGAGCTGGATGCATGTCCTAACTTTTCTATTTGAACCAATGTCAAGGTCAAAAGTCAAGGTCAAAGTTCAAGGTCATTTGGTGAATTGCTATATTTTACACATATATAAGGGATTTCTTATGTTTTTAAATGACCTTGACCTTTGACCTTGACCTATATTTCAAGGTCAAAGGTCAAATATGCCGAAGCAGTTGGTACCATGTCTCTAGGATACACCGTTTTAAAAATAAGTTCATTAAATGTAAGTAGCGTAAACTTTCAGGGGCAGTAACTCATACAAGGGTCCAAAGAATGCTTTCGCAATGATAGAATGAAGAGAGTACTAAATGAGTCAAAGACACTGATGAAGGTTTGGAATCTCTACGGTTTACGGTTTCGGAGGAGTAGCGATAACAAGGTTTTGTTGCAAAAGGGGTGACAACTTTTGAATGGGTCAAGCTCGGGGGACAAGAATGAAATCTTTGAAATAGTTTTAGAAGGACATATTATAGATGCAAAAATATTCAGTATATGTTGAAAGACAAAAGAGATATTAAAAAAGCTAATTTTCTCATATTTTGAATGACCTTGACCTTTGACCTTCACAAAAATTTCAAGGTCAGAGGTCACAAAATCTAATGCAGTTGGTCCCATGTCTTTACGACTTATCGTTTAGAGAATTTTGTCATTATTCGTAAACATCAAAAACTTTCAGGGGCAGTAATTTATTAAAGGGCTCGACAAATCGTTTCGCAATGAAAAGATTGAAAAGTCCTCTCGAGTAGTCGAAAACATTGGTGAAGGTTCTGTATCTGTACGGTTTATGGTTTCGAAGGAGTAGCGATAACAGGCTATTCTTGCGAAAGGGGCAATAACTTCGTAAGAGGTCATGGGTCAAACACGGGGGGTCGTTTTTCGAAATAACTTTTAATATCCAGTATCATGAACTATAAAGTTTTTCGATAAGTCTTGCGGTTTCAAAAGTCCGGGAAGAAAAAGAATAATAATAATAATAATAATAATAATAAACATAAGCATTTCAAGAGGTCTTTCCACAGAAAGGTGGAAAGACCTAATAAAAACTAGTAGACTAATTGTTATCGACAATTAGAGGTCTTTCCACCTTCTTTAAATTTCATATATTCTTCACATTTAACTCTCTACTGCTTATTTTTATACAAAAGAAACCAGAAATGGCTTGAGAGATGGAAAAAATGAAAATTTTAAAAATTTTTGAAATGACCTTGACCTTTGACCTTGAACAAATATTCAAGGTCAAAGGTCAAGGGTCACATTGCAATTAACCCCATGCTTCTACGACTTTAAGTTTTAAAGTTATAAGGTTTACTAGTAAGCGCAAGGACATTAAAGGGAGATAACTCATATAAGGGGTCACCGGATACTTTCGCACTGAATAGATTAAAGTTGTGCCTAAAGACCCTGAATACATTAATGAAGGTTTCCTGTCTCTGCGGTTTACGGTTTTGGAGGAGTGGCGATAACAAGGTTTTTTGCACAAGGGGAAATAACTTTTAAAAGGTTTAAGCTTAGGGGACAAGATTGAAATCTTTGAAATAGTTTTAAAAGTACATATAAAAGATGCAAAGATATACTGTATATATTGAAAGACAAAAAAGCTCTAAAAAGAGCTTTATTTCTCATATTAGGAGTGACCTTGACCTTTGACCTTGACATAATCTTCAAGGTCTAGGGTTAAAGAATCTAATGCAGTTGGTTTCATGTCTCTACGACTTATCGTTTTGAAAATTTTTCATTATTTGTAAACTGCAAAAACTTTCAGGGGCAATAACTCATAAAAGGGCTCAACAAATCCTTTTGTAATGAATAGATTGAAGAGTCTTCTCAATTAGTCGAAGACATTGGTGAAGGTTTCGTAACTCTACGGTTTACGGTTTCGGAGGAGTAGCGATAACAAGGTTTTTCGCACAAGGGGAAATAACTTTTAAAAGGTTTAAGCTTAGGGGACAAGATTGAAATCTTTGAAATAGTTTTAAAAGTACATATAAAAGATGCAAAGATATACTGTATGTGTTGAAAGACAAAAAAGCTCTAAAAAGAGCTTTATTTCTCATATTTGGAGTGACCTTGACCTTTGACCTTGACATAATCTTCAAGGTCTAGGGTTAAAGAATCTAATGCAGTTGGTTTCATGTCTCTACGACTTATCGTTTTGAAAATTTTCCATTATTTGTAAACTTCAAAAACTTTCAGGGGCAATAACTCATAAAAGGGCTCAACAAATCCTTTCGTAATGAATAGATTGAAGAGTCTTCTCAATTAGTCGAAGACATTGGTGAAGGTTTCGTAACTCTACGGTTTACGGTTTCGGAGGAGTAGCGATAACAAGGTTTCTAGTGAAAGGGGCAATAACTGCGAAAGGGGTCATAGGTTATATGCGTTGGGTCAAATTTGTTCATAACTTTTTATGACCTTTACGATGAACAAAAAGTCTTTTCGATAAATGTCGAAACAAAAAATCAGCGGAAGAAAAATTACTAGTAGACTAATTGTTCTCGAACAATTAGAGGTCTTTCCACCTTCTTTAAATTTCATATATTCTTCACATTTAACTCTCTACTGTTTATTTTTATACAAAAGAAACCAGAAATGTCTTGAGAGATGGAAAAAATGAAAATTTTAAAAATTTTGAATTGACCTTGACCTTTGACCTTGAACAAATATTCAAGGTCAAAGGTCAAGGGTCACATTGCAATTAACCCCATGCTTCTACGACTTTCAGTTTTAAAGTTATAAGGTTTACTAGTAAGAGCAAAGACGTTAAAGGGCGATAACTCATATAAGGGGTCACCGGATACTTTCGCACTGAATAGATTGAAGTTGCGTCTAAAGACCCTGAAGACATTAGTGAAGGTTTGATGTCTCTACGGTTTATGGTTTCAGAGGAGTAGCGATAACAAGGTTTTTCACACAAGGGGCAATAACTTTTAAAAGGGTTAAGCTTAGGGGACAAAATTGAAATCTTTAAAATAGTTTTAAAAGTACATATTAAAGATGTTAAGATATACTGCAAATATTGAAAGACGTAAGAGCTATAAAAAGAGTTTTATTTTTCATATTTGGAATGACCTTGACCTTTGACCTTGACATAAACTTCAAGGTCTAAGGTCAAAGAATCTAATGCAGTTAGTTTCATGTCTCTACGGCTTATCGTTTTGAAAATTTTTCATTATTTGTAAACTTCAAAAACTTTCAGGGGCAATAACTAGGGCTGGGACGATATATCGAGATATCGATAATATCGATTCAATGTGAGGATGATACGCATATCGATACGTATGAAAAAATATCGACATATTGCCCAAAAAAATCTGACTCATGTTTTTCTTTGTTTACTTAACATTTTGGGTTTAATATATAAAATAAATATGCTTAATTTAAATATAAATATGAAATACACAATAATTAAGATCACTTGTGCAAAATAATTAAGTTTTACAACAGATATACAATTTCTTTGAATAATTTATTCTTATTTGCGAAGAAATGTCTTGTTCATTTCAATATAAAAAAAGAAGTTATAACCAATTAAACATATCGTGATACATATCGTATCGTGGCTCAAATATCGGGATACGTATCGATATAGAAAAAGTTGTATCGTCCCAGCCCTAGCAATAACTCATAAAAGGGGTTGACGAATAGTTTCGCAATGATACAATGAAGCAAGTACTAAGTTAGTCAAAGACATTGATGAAGGTTTCGTACCTCTACGGTTTACGGTTTCGGAGGAGTAGCGATAACAAGGTTTCTAGCGAAAGGGGCAATAACTGCGAAAGGGGTCATAGGTTATATTCGTTGGGTCAAATTTGTTCATAACTTTTCATGCCCTTTACGATGAACAAAAAATCTTTTCGATAAATGTCGAAACAAAAAATCAGCGGAAGAAAATTAAGAATAATAAGAATAATAAGAATAACTAGTAAACTAATTGTTCACAGAAAAATTAGAGGCCTTTCCACCTTTTTAAGTGTTTCCGTGTCATTTGGGTTGAAAAAAAGAAGAAAAATGCAAAAAAAGAAAAAAAAAAAAATTTGCTCCTCCCCCTTACAGAATTGCAGCATAATTGCAGTACATATGCAGCACATTATCAGTATAAAATCCCAGTAGACTATCAGTAGAGCTACAGTAGTGCTGCAAATGTACTGCAGAGCTTTTAAATGGAAAAATGTAATGAAGCAGCAGACTTGCAGTATGTTTCAAATATGTTAATTAAGACTGCAATTGTACTGCAAAAAGGACTGCCAGGCAGTATATGCTGCCCTGCAGTAATTCTTGAATACCTCTAGTCTACTGGCCTGCAGTACTTGTGCTGCTAAGCAGTAGACATGTTTCAGTGTGTTTCAAACATCTACTGCACAGCAGTACTCTATACCCAAATATGGAAGCTTTGGTTGGCAGTAGAGTTGCAGCATGTTTCAAATATTTAAATTAGTACTGCACAGCAGTACTGTATACCCAAATATGGAAGCTTTGGTTGGCAGTAGAGATGCAGCGTGTTTCAAATATTTCAAGTACCCGTTAGGACAGCAAAACAGAACTGATGTATACCATGAATATGGTTGGCTGCCTTTGTAAAATACAACAACTATTAATAACAACTAATGTGAATTCTTTTATCACACACATATGTATATTGAAGTCTACTCTACATGCTGCACAACCCTCTTGCTCTTAGCTCTTGCAGATGATAATTTTGCAGCCATTGCTTGACGAATAGCCCCTTTTGTTGCACATGACTTCTGCGCTGAAAAATCTGAAAACAAATTAATGAAAATAATAGATATTTAAATTTAAACATCATTAATTTAAAAAAAATGTCAGGTCTAAGGTGATTCTTAAAATGCAGGTCTATTATAAATTGTATTTATACAGAAAGATACGGAAATGAAAAAGACAGATGGAGCTCTTTTATAAATGGAAGGAGGTATAAAAAACGTTAGATGTACATACACTGATATCCAGTGATCAAACAGAAGAGATAGATACAAAATCTCTTTCTTTTTTTAAATTCCAAATATGTTACTCTGTTTACTTTGTTAAAAATAATGACTATTTAATCTGTATACTTTGTTAAAAATAATGACTATTCAATTTGTAAAGCCATAATGTTATGACTGACATGTGAAAGAACAATATAATGAAAACATACTGATAATTGCACTTGTTATGGTTTCATCTAGCAGTAGATGGCCTTTAGCATTGGGAGACAGCTTGCAATCAGGAAAGTCTTTCTTGGTGAAGAATATATTCATGAGGAGTTTTGCCATCCGTTTACCATAGGCAGCTGTTCCTTGGGCAGAAGGGTCTCGCACTCTTTGTACGTGGTCAATATCATGTTGATAGAGGTACACACCTGATCCAGGTGTTAGTTCAACCATCTGAAATAATACTAGATTACTGATTAGTCTGTATTTTTAAGATGTAGTCAGAAAAAATCTACATTAATCAAATATCAATGAAATTATTTACGTCTACATCTTGATTAAATATTTTTATATCATACTGTGGTCCTTGTCTACACCTGGAAAAAGTCCCTTGAATCAGCAGATAATTGATTATGAAAGATATCATGATGAATAAACTGTACATGTGTCAAATAAGCAAAACTTTTTGCATTTTGGGGATAAAAAATTTCAAAATATTCAATTTAGTAAATACAAACAATTAAAAGCCCAAGCTGGATTCGAACTCGGGATGTGTGGTTCACAATTCCATACATTAACCATTAACCACTTGGCTATGGAGTTCATTGAACAAGATGGTCATTAAAACCATTTTAATAATTAAAACTAAATGGCTTTTCGAACAAGGTCAGCCATATTGATTTAAACTTTCCCCTTAAAACTTATAATTTGAATCATAACAGCTAGTACCTATAATACTTTAAATACATCAGTTACCTTGTATCTTTTTGCCACATCACTCGAAAGTTTACCAGGCTTTGGCATGGTGTAATCCTCTGTAAAATAATTCAATTTTTTAAAAATGTGGGGTTTCAATGACAATTGCAAAGTTTCTGTTTTTTAATGCAGACCCATTGAAACTATTAAACAACTGTTATGTGTTTACTTTATACATGATTACTTTAGTCTTATGTAGTTCCATAGATTCTGAACCAATACAATTTTAATGACTATTGAAACTTGCATTGTCACACTAATTAACTGTAATTAATGACAGAATGAGATATACCATTATTTTCTTTTGACATATTCTGGCTTTTCAATTTCAACTCCTCCAACTCTTTGTAAGCCTCTGAAAGTTCTAAAAAAAAAAAAAAGTTGCACAATTTTAATATTCAAAATGAACAAAAAAAGGTCAAAACTTAGAAACCTAAAAAGCTGTAATTTAAATAATTATTAAAGAGGTTGAGATTTCAAACGTGTACAAGGGGAATCACCTAAATTCATCGCATATTACGTCCTCCGTTTTTGTGACGAGAAGGTTTTTATGAGTTAAATCTCTAAACTTGAAAAGTGTCGTCTACACTAAGTACAAACTTGTGCTTTTACAACAAAAATAATCTAATTGATGAGTGAATATATTCTTGTGATACATTAATTAGATTTTTAAACTTTATTTGCATGCAGATTGATTAGGAAATTCACCATTTATTTGAAGTTAATTAAGTAAATTCATGTACACGTTTATATCCTACAGGTTATGAAATCTCAACTGATAAATTACAAAAACAGGTACGTGTACATGTAGTTATACATGTAACACACGTACACGTTACCTGTACACGTCTTAATCTCAACCTCTCTAATAACTAAACTTTGACTTGTACAATTTACAGAAAAATTTTGCATCGATATACAATTTGAAATGATTAATTTAACCTACTGCATTTTAGAATGCCATTTTCTTTAATTGCTTCAGCATATTTCACCTCCAGTGCTCGGTTTCGAGGGGCTTTTTGAGCCACAGTATTGTGCCCTTTAGCATTCACTTGTTGAACTGGCAGGTCCCTATAAACACAATACAATGTATCATACTTTGCTACAGAAGCATAAACATTTTCAATTTGAATTGAATTACTAAGGATAACAATTATTACTCTAAATTCAATGTAATGGGAACAAACTTATATTTTGTTAGAATAATAACCTACATCATAATAAAATATCACTCATTATTTAGGCGATTGAATAACTCAATTAACCCTCTTTTGATGCAAACTCAGATTTTTAACAAAACTTCAATCTAATACAAATGTGAAATCACTTTTGCTTACGTTAAAGCAATCAATTCAGCATTGAGTGCATCCTCCTCATGATCAGAGTCATCAGCTCTAAAAAAAAGAATGATTTACCATATTAGTGTTAAAAAAATGTGTAACTGTTAATTTACCACACCAAGTAAAAACAAGTTACATATTATTCAAAATTTAACAGCAATTTGTTTTAAATTTTTAACATTGTTTTACTTTTAAATATTGTATAAATATACATATTATTTTAAGATGAGGAGATATCTTTGAGAACTATTACTCACAACTGTGTAAAGTCAATGTCCTGAAGAGGTAGTAGAGGTAGTAAGTCTTCCTCAGTGTCCTTGTTCTCGTTTTGAATTCTACAAATAAATAAAATATGAATGAACAACAGTCAATAATTGAAATGTTACAAAAATATTGACCAGTCAATATTTTAAGAGAATATTTTTTGCAATGAAATGGCTGACTTATTCTTTGCTACTGATAAAAAATGCGACATTATTAATTCATAATGGGTATGCAATTTAACAATTGCTTAAGGCTTTAAGCAGCAGTTTGCTAGCTATAGAAAAGACTTCCAAATTAACTGAAAAATAGTGACAAACTGCTTGTTAGCCAATTGGTAAGAGTTTATCAGGGTTGTCCCTAAGACCCGGGGGCAGGGGAATTTCCCCGCCTATAATGATGTAATCCCTTGGTTATTCTGGTATTCCCCCTCAACCCCCCCATCCTGTTAGGGAGGAACCCAAAAACCCCTTCTACTTTTTTAATGTCACCTGCTATTTCAATTCTTAGGGACAACCCTGGTTTATACCTTGTTTTCCTTATACACTGATACTGAAACTGTGTTTTATTTTAATTTCTATTTCTTTGTTTTTATACATGTATAATACTATAGTGCTGTAACAGTGATTTTTCTACATCCTCTTTAGGTCCGAATATCGGCCCTTTCCCCTCTCAAAAATTACCGATTTTTCCCCCAATTTCTATTGCTTTTTTCCCAAAACAAAACCGATGTTGTTTTTGTTATATTGAATTTTTTACGTACGACTTATCTAAAATGGAACGCTATTGTTCTCGGTCATTCAGACTCTTAAAATAATAGTAAGAAACAACAGATTACGTCGTGCGTTTACAAGACTTAGAAAAACACATGGTCATGTCAAACCTGTTGTATAAATACATCGTAAGAAAGTGTAATGTGCATGTGAACCGGCAAAACGTAGCTCTATTTGTGAATCCAAGTACTAGTAACTCTACAGTAAGCATCAAAATCAAACTGTTTCTACATCCGGCAGATGCAACTAGTATTGCAGAGAAATGGCAGCAATATGATTAGCTAGGGTCATAAAAAAGCTTTAATAATTAGTTTGAAAAAAAAAATGATTTGTCATTTATCATGTCAGATTAGTTTATCTTCAATGGCTATTACAAGAAAGATTTTCTCTTATGTCTACCATTATGACCAAAAAAAAATGGAAATATAGGTTGGTCACAATTAATGACAACTTTCAAAGATTAAAAAAAGGGTTAAGAATTTAGAACTGTGTCTAATTTGTTACTTTTTAGCAAATAAATTGAATAAATGATGTTACATTTACTTATATACCAGTATTTCATTTTACCTGCCAATTAAATTTCAATCTTTTTGATTTTTCCCAATTTGATACAAATGTCGATGATTTTTCCCAATTGTAAAGGCCCAGGCCCCTTTTAAAAAATGTAGAAAAATCACTGTGTAAAAAATGTTTACCTATTGAAGTCAATATTCAACTCTCGCAAAACTTTGGTATTTAGCTCTGTCCTGGCTTTTTTCTTCAGAATTGCCTCATTTTTTTTCTCTTCAAATTTCTTTTTTCTCATTTCTTCCTGTGCCTTTTTCTTGTCAATCGGATTGACTTCTTCCATTTTCTTCTTATTTGCTTTTTCGACTTTCTGCTTCTTATTCCTATCTTTACCCTGAAGCTGCTTTTCAGCTGATTTTTCCTGAGGCATGCTGTAAAATGTTTTAGAAAAATGAATAGAAAATTTACAATATTGCTCAAAGCTAAAATCATCATGTCAAAAATTTAAGTTACATTAAAAAAATGTACAAAATTAGTTGTAAGTGGTATATTAGTATGTAAACGTAGAGGCTAAAGTATTTTTTAGCAGTGTTTGTACATGTATCATTCATACCCAGCATGAAAAAAAACAAGAGGCCCAAGGGCCTTAACGGTCACCTGAGTACAACAATTTAGAGGATCCATAAACTGATAAATGAAGCTTTGTTGCCCAATAGCAAGAAAAATAGCACGATTAAGATCAACAAAATAATTGGTCTAGTATCTTTCTATCTGTCCCCCATTTATCACTATTATCATGCAGACTTTTAACAAAATGTCTATATTATAACCTCTCACATTGGCCTCACTTGGCCTTTGAAGAACATTTAAAAAGATAAGTTATTTTTGTTTCATTTTTATTCATCTATTATTTCCAAGTCTACCTGATTATTAAAACTATGAAAGTACTTTTTGTATTATACAATAAATGTTCTTGCATAATTCTCTTATTCTATTATCCTTTCAAATACATTATCTACAGTGATTGATTATCAAACTTAAGGTGAATGCCAAAGGGGAATAACCTCACTCAGTAGATTACAAATTAATAGAGCCCTGGCCAGGACCAGAACACTTGACTAAATGGTCCAGATGTTCAAAATTCTGGTAAAAATACCTTGCTTATTAAAACTTTTACTCTGTTTGCTTCCAGTATGCCCAGGAGCAGAGGAGATTTTCAAAGAAATAATGTATTTTCACTATTTAACACAGCCCTACCCTAACACCAAAACCCATGACCTAGGATCATGAAAATTTACAAAATTGGAAGAGGTACCCTCATCATCCTAACTATGCAATTAGTTGAAGATTTTCAAAGAATTCACACATTTTCACCATATAATCTAATAGAGCCCCCCCCCCCCCCCCCGAGAAACAACAGAACCCCTGGGACCACAAGTTTTAAAAATTTTGTAAAAGCATCCTTGCTCATCATAACTATACACTTGTTTCTTTGTTTTATAACAAGGAGTAGAAAAAAATATTTTGAAAGTAATTATGAATTTTCACTATATAATCAATAGAGTCCCACCCCCACCCTTTTACCAGAACCCCTGACCCAGGGGCCATGAAATTCACAATTTTGGAAGAGGCAGCCATGCTCATCATAACTATGTACTTAGTTAGTTTATTTCGTACCCAGGAGCAGAGAAGATGATTTTCAAAGATTTAATGCATTTTCACTATATAATCAATAGAGTCCCCCCCCCCCCCCACACCTAACACCAGAACCCCTGGCCCTGGGGTCATGAAATTCTCAATTTTGGTAGAGGCACTCTTGCTCATCATAACTATGTACTTAGTTTATTTAATATCGAGGAGCAGACAAGAAGATTTTCAAAGAAATAATGCACTTTCACTATATGATGTATATAGCCCCACCCTAGCACCAGAACCCCCGACCCTGGGGCCATGAATTTCACAATTTTGGTAGAGGGCTCAATCCTTATAACAATCAGGCCAACAGTTTGACTGCTTGATGTCCAGGAGTAAAGAAGAAGATTTTTAAAGATTGCATTAATTTTGGTGATATCAGCCCTACCCTTCAGGCCCCAGGGGGGCAGGGACTATGAAATTCACAATTTTTGTTCCCCTTCACCTATAGGTGCTATATGCCAAAATTGGTTGAAATTGGTTGAGGGGTTTCAGAGAAGAAGCTAAAAATGTTCAATTGTTAACGCAAAACGCACGACAAATGCCGATGGACAAAAATGGATAGCAATAGGTCACCTGAGTGACTCAGGTGACCTGAAAATGTAAATTTTAGCAACTTATCAGTAAAGGGGGGGGGAGTCACTGTTAATTTTAATATATAAAAAATGTTGTATTTATAGAGTAAAATATTTTTAATTTCTGCATGCAATCACACTGTGAAACATATTGGATACAAATCCCATTTAAAGGCCGAGGTTTTCAACCGGTTGGTTTTCCTCAGGTAAGTTTGGTGTGGGGTGGAGCTTAATTGAAACGGCTGTGAAGCCCCAAGGGAACCAAGCTGGCTTGTGTATACCTACCCATATACACAGGATGTTACCTGTATATTACCTGTAAATGTTTTCCTAAGACATAGTTTAACTTCGCGTGTTGCTCAATCGTAATGTTGATCGTCAAATTTATGAAATAAAACATGCTAAATTTTTTATGTAGACTGATTCCTTTAGTTCAATTCTTTTTTAAAAAATATGTTTGAATAAAGGAGACAATTTTAGTTTAATTTTGTGCGTTAATCAATTTCAAATCTTTGGTTGTAAGCTGACGACACCGAGGGAAATAGTCATTTGCAAAACGAAAGTAGAAAAAAGCGCGGTCCTGAATAAGTCTCTAAAACTTAGAAATCCTGTTTGAAGGCTAAATTTTGTAGAAAATATATAATAAATTAGGCAAGTATTTTTTATATAATTCCTATGTGATTAACCCATGACGCATGTTTGAACAGTTTCGTAAAAATGGTCATGGCATCTGCGTATTGTTTCTCCGACAGTTAGACGAAACGGGAATATAGTCACTTTATCCTACTTTTTCCTCGGGATCCATAATTCTAAACATAACTTGCATATTCAATGACAGCTTTTATAATACTGCTTATTTCTCTTAAAAAAGGTTATTTTACCGTAACTTTCATCACCATGTCTCGGAGAAATATTACACGTCTTGAAATTTTTTTAACTTGGACAATATGACTATCTCATAATTATAAAAAAGAAATTATTATTTTATTAAATTACATGATGCTTCCAATGCAGTTCGGTATTTTCTGTTGTAAGTAAAATCGATGCACGTGTAAATTTGGATAACCTATACTGCATTATAGATTGTACAGTGAAATGAATCCCCCTTTCTTAATTACAATTTAAATAGATAAATGACTGATTTTCTTTTTCATTTATTTAATTGTCTGACAGACTGATTAAGTATAAATTATATATGGGTAATTACTTTATCATAAAGTAAAAAAAATAATATCAGCTCTGGCTGCTTCTTTATCACGATGTTTCATATATGCGGTAGGCATCAAAGACTGGCTGTTAATTCAATAATCGGTACGATCCCCAGCCAAGGTATACAAGATATACACAACGGCAGGTAACAAAATGTCAATCAATTTTCAGTATCCAATCTCAGGCTTAATTTCATCTGATTGACAGGGGTTCACAGACCAGGTAAAATTGAGGGCGGTGCTTATTTCCTCCCCCTTTAAACAAAAAAATTATGCTTACCCCCCTTTTTTTCAAGTTCAATACAATCAAATAGACCATAATCAATAAATAAATCAATAAGTATAATTACCAAGTTTCTTCTTCAGTGGAACACAATCTAGGTGTTGTCCTAAGGAGATCCATTTCATTGTGTAATTCTCTTCTATCATCTATTAAAATGTACAGTTACATGTATATTGATTGTTACAAACATTTAGAAAGAGTTTAATTATCTTCATATTCCTTTGAATTAAAACTAATTAAAAATTTTAATAGCAAAAGTATTATATATTATGCATGATTATAATGACTTCTCACTGCATGTTTTGGGTGAAAGCCGTTTTAGACTTCACAGTAAATAAGGGAAATAACTCAAGATTTTCAACATTATTCTTATTATCATTTAAAATAGTGTTAAAACAAGAAAACAAGATATTTATCGTCTGTTGAAATGTACAATAAATTATAAATGAGACACATGATTTTAAAGATCATATTGCTCATAATTTATAATCTTGTGAACCTACCACCGATCTTTAAAATTTTGGCGGGATGTGACCCCGGGAATCCTTGGCATTTGGCGTAAACGTCTAACCCAACTGTGTAATCTTCAAATGGGAGACGCGGGTCATCTATGGCACGTAAATTTATCACACCGAGGGGAAATCCTTCCTCCTGCCATTCGACAAGGGCTAGTAATAATTTTGACATCGTTGTCTAGGCCTAAATATTGCCGCGCTTTCAACTAGGAACTTTACGTACCGGAACTAAATGTGGTTAAATACATCGTACGATGTTCCTGTGCGCATCCACCGTTTTTTATTTATATAAACTAAAGTAAACTGACTAATTCACAATTTATTTATAATAATTTCAGTTAAAAAATATTATCAGAAATGTGAGATATCCGTGAATTGGAACTTTGGAAGAATAAGTTACGAAACGAAATAGCTTATGCACGATTTGCCCAAGAAAAAAATGGCGTCAAAAAAACGCGGGCCATATGCAGGAACATCGAGGACATCGAAGTGGAGAAAACAAGAGAAAGAGCAAGAACACGAGTCAAATGTTGAGGAAATTGCAGGTATATAGAGTTTTTTTGGTAGTAAAACGGTTCTGAATCTGTATAAATTTTATTGATTAATTAATTACGTGCATACATTTGGAAAGGGGAGTCACTCTATTGGTATTGTAAATAATAATGAAAAAGGGTGTCCGTTGATGAAATTAACGAGTGGAACTACGACGGCAAATTTATTGTGTACAACCTTCCTTCCCAAAATTTTAATCAAATGATGGGTATAATGCAGTTCATAAGTGATTTATAATTTTATATACACCAGTCATGAAGCCAGTTTTGAAATACAATGAACCTGAATAACTATAAATTATTTTAAAAATAACATTAGAGTAAGAAAAATTTTAATATGTGCAGCTTACTTTACAATTCTAAGAACTTTACCAAAGAAAAAAAATATAGTAATGAAAACAGTGTTATAAATTTGATGATGAATTATTTTATTTAACATTTAATAATAATAATTATAGCATCAACTTTTTCTATTTTATTTTATCCACCTCATCCCATTACAATAATGTATTACTATTTACTTTAGTTTCAGAAACAATTGAAGAATTAACCGATTACAATGATGAAGTTCCAAATGAATTTGACATAATGGTGGAAGAAATGCTGGAGGAAGAAAAACAGAAGTTAGACCAAAAAAGTAGTGATAATCAGAGAAATATTGACAATGAACCTATATATCAAGGAAGCAGGCTTACTGTTAGCATGAGTATGCTGCTGATTGTAACATTTGCTACAAGACACAACTTATCAGGAGTTGCCCTTTGTGATTTATTAAATCTTATTGAAGTGCATTGTCCTCCAGATAATATATGCAGGGCAACCCTTACAATGTACCAAGACTTTTTTAGGCATTTGAAAACGCCTCTAATATACAACTATTTTTGTGAAAAGTGCTTCCTCAGCATTGAAAAGGATGCAAAATATGAAAAATGTCCAAACTGTTCATTGACTAGCATAAAATATTTCATCACCATACCCCTAAAGGACCAAATGGAAACAATTTTGAAAAGTGAGTCATTTTCATTTTAGACTTATTTTATCATTCTAGCTTGCAAGTAAGATGTAACTAGCGTTTAACCATAAATTTTATTGCAGTGATTATCAATGATATAATAAAAATTTTGGCCATGTGTTAATATCATGAAGGACTGTTTTGGGGCCCTGCACTGACATGCATGTGAAAGAATTAGAAATAAAATCAAACTTTAATACTGTTAAATTTAATAAAAGTATTGGTAAATACATACGCCATATTTAATACTACATACAATAGATAGTTGTCAATCCACAAAATTCCCTCCATGGCAAAAAAAAATGTAACAATGTAAAATTCACTTTAATGTATATCCAACAAATATATTGATGATTTCATTTTATATTGTATGATGTATTTTTTAGGACCAGGCGTTCTTGACATTATAAGAAAAAGCAAAATTGAAAGGAGTGAACTTGGGAACACATCCATTATTGAAGATGTCTACAATGGAAATGTATACAAAACTCATTTTGATAGTAGTGGTTTTTTCCATGGAACAACCAAGGAAGAGAGGAATCTTCAATTGCACCTTTCTTTTCAAATTAACACTGATGGAGTTGCTGTGTTCAAGTCATCTAAATTTGGTGTTTGGCCTCTGTATGCAGTTATCAATGAATTGCCACCTGATGCAAGGTACCAGTTACAATTTGATTAATTATATGAATTCGGAAATTACGGTACTCTTAACATTCAATGATAAACATACAGTAAAACTTAATTCAATGATAAACATACAGTTAAACTCGTTTATAATGAACAGAGATATAGTGATATCTCGATATAACGAAGTTTTTTGGAGATAGCGAAGTAAAACCATTGGTCCCTATGACTTCGTTATAACCGAGCTTTACTGTAAATAACTCTACTGTTAACAACTTAACACTATTTTCTCTAAAATTTATTGCTAGATTCACAAGAGAAAACCGTATCTTCTTAGGACTATGGTTTGGAACTCAGAAACCAAATATGAAACTACTTTTTGGATCCTTTTTGAAAGAATTCAATTTGCTTTTTACAGGTGTGTATGTTATATTTTATGCCCCTGCCATGAAATTGCAGGGGTGCATATGGTGTAAACTGTTACCCTGTTCCATCATTCCGTCCTGAAGATATTTTTAGTTTCCGCTGAAGGGATGTATATATATATAAAGTTGATAATGCATTCAGGTCAAATTTGAACTTGGTTCCGATCTAATGATTTTTAACAGAGTTATGAATATGTCTCTTGGACTTTGAGAAAAAAAGAGAAATCTTCTGTTCAAACAAATAAATCAATATGTAACAAAACCTTTTAATTGATTGATTGATTGTATGTTGTTTTACGTCTCATTCAAGAATTTTTCATTCATATAGAGACGTCACCATACACCGGTGAAGGGCTTCAAATTTTGACCTTTACTCGGCACTCAGGGCCATTGAGCATGGGGGATCTTTATCGTGCCAATGCCTGCGGTGACGCGGGACCTCGGTTTTTAGGGTCTTATCCGAAGGACCCGCAACTTTCACTTCAAAGTGCCGAGCGCATGGCGAAGGAACAGTTGCTACCCATTTTTTATTGACTTAGGTCAGTCGCGGCCAAGATTTGAACTCACAACCTCCCGATCACGGAGCGAGCGCTCTACCGACTGAGCTACCGTAAACAGTAAAAATCCCCCCAAAATATGCATTGCAATTCCATGCCATAAATATGTTGTTCAAAATTTCATATATCAGTAAATATGAATATTTTTAAATATTTTCAGGCATTCCCATGAGTATTAAAGAAGAACAGTTAACAGTTAAAGCCATTCTTCTTAGCTGCACAGCTGATGCACCAGCGAGATGTTTAATGATGGATTTTGTCCAGTTTAATGGTAATTATGGGTGTCCTTGTTGTCTATCTCCTGGAGAAACATTTGCAATATCGGCAACAGGGAACTCGCATATATACCCCTACAAGTCAGAAAGTAATGAAGGCCATGACGAGTTAAGGACAATGGAGGAAACCAAAGCTACAGCGCATCGAGTAGAAACGGAATATTTGAGTGGAAGAAGACGAGATCCTGTGCCAGAAATGGGAGTCAAAGGAATATCCTTTTTGATGTCATTTCCAAAGTTTGATTTAATCAAAGGTACTGGCATAGATTATATGCACTGTGTTTTGCTTGGTGTTGTTAAGATGATCCTAGGGCTTTGGATTGATCAAGATCACAAAAATGAGCAATGGTCTCTTAGAAGCCATATTGATGTACTTAATGATAGAATCAAAAAACTAAGACCACATTGTTTGATTTCACGCCTACCAAAAAAAATTGATGAGTATGGTGACTGGAAAGCATCTGAATTTAGAACATTTCTTCTTTATTACTCTGTACCCCTTTTGGAAGATGTACTCCCTTCAAAATATTATGATCATTTTTGTAATTTAGTACTTGGCACTTTCTTACTTTTAAAGACTTCAATTTCACAGACTGATCTGAAATTAGCGAGATGTTGTTTCAAAAGATTTTGTATTGGTATAGAAGAACTTTATACGGAGCGTTACGCTACATTTAATGTTCATTGTCTTTTACACTTGTGTTCAAAAGTCGAAGATTTGGGACCACTTTGGTCCCAGTCTTGTTTTTTTTATGAAGGATTGAATGGTGATCTTAGAAATCTTTTCCATGGTACACAAAAAATTGATCTCCAAATTGTAACTGCTGTATGCATTCAAAATAAAATTCCTGAACTTGTTGACAAATTAGAAATAGGTTCTGTGAAGTCTTTTTATCAAAAGATGCAGTCATCTTTGCAACAGTCATTTACTAGGATATGTATTGGACTTAAAACTTTTGTGGTTGGCTCTATAAAGGCCTTTTTGCCTGAGGAACATGTTACACAATTACTGGAAAATAAGTTTGGAAATGTTGCTGAATATCATATCTTCTACAGAGTTTTACACAATAAGATAATGTATTATAGTGAGGAGTACAAGCCTGTGAAAAAAAGAAACTCCTATACATGTAAGAACAAGAGTGGTATTTGTCAGATTAGATATTTTTTACAGTGTGCAACTGAAAATGGATACACATATGTTGCTGTTACTAGAATACTTAATGTACAGAAATCTTGTACAAATGTTTGTCAAGTGTCCATTGGTTTAACAAATGTAATACTTGTAGATGATCTCGAGGAACCTGTCATGTACATAGATATTGATGAGAGAAAAAAGCAGGTGGCATTTTTCCCAAATCTTATTGAAAAAGATTAATATATTTAGTTGTCCATTGATTGTTTCAATGTCAGACTAAGAGTTTTTGTATACACTGTACTTACTAGCATTTACCACAAACTGTCATGAAGCTCATGTACAAAATGTAGTACAAATGTATGTCAATTAAGTGTCCATTGGGGTACCAAATATTATGCTAGCATATAGAGGATATATACTGAGGAACCTTTTATGTACATGAATATTGATAAGAAAAACTATGTAGAATTTTATCCAAGTATTATTGAAAATGATATAATAAAAGATACATTAATATTGAAACATCATGTCTATTAGTATATTTTCAATGTCAGAACAAATAGTTTTTTTACACATGTATTTTGCATTTCCCACAAATCCCTTTGAACACCTGGTATTTAACTTGGTCTCAAATTTCATGCAGATGTTTTTAAGACATCATATAATATATCTTATTAAAAAGTCACCATTAAAACAGCTGTAATAAACATTAGATTTTAATTATTGCTGCATTTTTTCACAGTTATTAAGATAATGCAAATACAGCCAATTAATATATTGGCAAAATATGGTATACCTTCAGAATCTAAGTGATAAAGATATTGCAGTACAAATGCAGTACCTTTGATGCCAGTACATATATCTAATTATGATAAAGATAATGCAGTACAAATGCAGTACCATCAATACCAGTATCTAACTGATAAAGATAATGCAGTACAAATGCAGTACACCTATGACAGACTTGTGAATGATAATGATAATGCAGCAGAAATGCAGTATACCTTTAATACCAGTATCTCAATAATAAAGATAATGCAGTAGAAATGCAGCTTATTTGCAGTACAAAAGCAGCATATGAAATTTTGTGTCACTGAAAAGAAAATACGAAAAGTTTTTGCAGCACATTTTCAGTATATTTACAGTAGATTATTAGAATATACTGCTGCGCAGTACATTATGCTAATAAGTACTGCAAATATACTTCATTTTTGCAGTAGACATTAAGTACAATTGCAGCGCTATAGCAGCAAATACTGCATTTGCAGTATCTGCTGCAATTCTGTAAAGGTCCAGCAGGGATCGAACCCGGTACCATTGGTTTGAAAGGCAGTTGCGCTAACCACTGCGCTACGCATTCCGATAAAATCGGTAAGTTAATTGTTTAAGACTATAGAAGAAATGCGAGCGTATTTTTAGAATCGGTAGGGGAAGAAAGAAGTTCCGTAAAAGGAAATAGTTCCTGAATTTGCAAGCAGTATATAAAATAATAAGGGACGTGCTGCGTAAGAAAACGTTAACACTGTTCCCTAATGAAAATGTATTAATGAACTGTAGCCCGATTCATCGATATTGTGAGCATGCTGAATTTTTTGTAAATAGCTTCGTTGTAAGCTTAAAAGATCGGGTTCGGATTTTAACATTTCTGACTGAATATCCTGAAATAAATATGAAACATTTAAATAAGCATTTCTTTGGGTTTAATTCAATAAGTGTAGCCCAAATTAAATTCCCAACATGCATTTTTAGAAGGGAAACACGACAATGAAAGCGAGAATTGTTTTTAATATACCGAAAATCGCTATTTCTGGAAACTGATTAATTCTAAATAAAAATCAAATAAATTCCAAATGTTAAAGAAAGAGAGAATGCTTGGTATTAAAATGTCGTATCATATCGGGAGAATTAAATGCCACTAAAGACATCTGAAGAAATAGCCGATAAAAGGTTTAGATCATTTCTTCGTTCACCTGCACTTAAATTTCAAACACAACAGCACTTGTAGTTTTTGCCGTGAAACTTCATGACTTCTATAAACTTACAAGACTCACCGTAAAACTCTCCAGAAAGTTTCTCTGAGGTCTATACTACATTTGTACCAAATTTGGTGTCGATCCGAGGTCTGGTTTGAACTCTGGAGTAATATTCTACATTGTTGTTGATGTGATTTTTTTTTTTTTTAAAGAAGTTGGGTGGGGGGGGGGGGAAATTATTTATTTTGTGCCTCTTTTAAACTACGAATTGTAACTACTTCCACATCCTTAAGCCTTATTGTGACCTTTGAGTCAAGGTCAAAGGTCAAGTCAAAGGTCAAGGTCATTCCAAAAAAAAAAAACAAACTTTACTTTCTGTATTTTTACCTGATACTGGAGCTGGATGCATGTCCTAACTTTTCTATTTGACCCGATGTCAAGGTCAAAGGTCAAGGTCAAAGGTCAAGGTCATTTGGTGAATTTCTATATTTTACACATATATGAGGGATTTCTTATGTTTCTAAATGACCTTGACCTTTGACCTTGACCTATATTTCAAGGTCAAAGGTCAAATATGCCTATGCAGTTGGTCCCATGTCTCTAGGTTAAAAATAAGTTCATTAAATGTAAGCAGCGTAAACTTTCAGGGGCAGTAACTCATACAAGGGACCAAAGAATGCTTTCGCAATGATAGAATGAAGAGAGTACTAAATGAGTCAAAGACACTGATGAAGGTTTGGAATCTCTAAGTTTACGGTTTCGGAGGAGTAGCGATAACAAGGTTTTGTTGCAAAAGGGGTGACAACTTTTGAATGGGTCAAGCTCGGGGGACAAGAATGAAATCTTTGAAATAGTTTTAGAAGGACATATTAAAGATGCAAAGATATTCAGTATATGTTGAAAGACAAAAGAAATATTAAAAAAGCTAATTTTCTCATATTTTGAGTGACCTTGACCTTTGACCTCTATATAAATTTCAAGGTCAAAGGTCACACATGCCAATGCCATTGGTCCCATGTCTCTATGATTAATCGCTTTCATTTTTTTTACCTATTCGCAAACTCCAAAAACTTTCAGGGGCAATAACTCATAAAAGGGGTTTACAAATCCTTTCGCAATGAAAGAGTGAAGAGTCTTCTAAATTAGTCAAAGACATTAGTGAAGGTTTCGTATCTCTACGGTTTAAGGTTTCGAAGGAGTAGCGATAACAAGCTTTTATTGTGAAAGGGGTTGTAACTCCTTGAGGGGTCAAAGTTCATATACGCAGGGTCAACTATAAAAATCTTTTACGAAGTGCATTCTTATGGACCATAAATCTTTTTGATAACTTTTGAAACAAAAAACCATTCGGCGGAAAAATAATAAAAATAACTAGTAAACTAATTGTTCAGAGAACAATTAGAGGTCTTTCCACCTTTTTAAGTGTTTCCGTGTCATTTGGGCTGAAAAAAAATGAAGAAAAATGCAATAAATGCAACAGGAAAAAAAAAAAAAAAAAACTCCTCCAGCTGGGATCGAACTCAAAACCCTTGGTTTGAAAGGCAGGTGCGATAACCATTAGGCCACGCACTCCAATAACAATAGTGCGTTAAAATGTTTAGGACTATAGAATAATTGCAAGCGTATTTTTAGAATCGGTAGGGGAAGAAAGAAGTTCCGTAAAAGGAAATAGTTCCTGAATTTGCAAGCAGTATATTAAATAATAAGGGACGGGCTGCGTAAGAAAACATTAACACTGTTCCCTAATGAAAATGTATTAATGGACTGTAGCCCGATTCATCGATATTGTGAGCATGCTGAATTTTTTGTAAATAGCTTCGTTGTAAGCTTAAAAGATCGGGTTCGGATTTTAACATTTCTGACTGAATATCCTGAAATAAATATGAAACATTTAAATAAGCATTTCTTTGGGTTAAATTAAATATGTGTAGCCCAAATTAAATTCCCAACATGCATTTTTAGAAGGGAAACACGACATTGAAAGCGAGAATTGTTTTTAATATACCGAAAATCGCTATTTCTGGAAACTGATTAATTCTAAATAAAAATCAAATAAATTCCAAATGTAAAAGAAAGAGAGAATGCTTGGTATTAAAATGTCGTATCATATCAGGAGAATTAAATGCCACTAAAGACATCTGAAGAAATAGCCGATAAAAGGTTTAGATCATTTCTTCGTTCACCTGCACTTAAATTTCAAACACAACAGAACTTGTAGTTTTTGCCGTGAAACTTCATGACTTCTATAAACTTATAAGACTCACTGTAAAACTCTCCAGAAAGTTTCTCTGAGGTCTATACTACATTTGTACCAAATCTGGTGTCGATCCGAGGTCTGGTTTGAATTCTAGAGTAACATTCTACATTGTTGTTGATGTGATTTTTTTTTTTTTTTTAAGAAGGGAGGGGGGGGTGAATTATTTATTTTATGCCTCTTTTAAACTACGAATTGTAACTACTTCCACATCCTTAAGCCTTATTGTGACCTTTGAGTCAAGGTCAAAGGTCAAGGTCATTAAAAAAAAAAGAGGGAAATCTTTACTTTTCTATGTTTTTACCTGATACTGGAGCTGAATGCATGTCCTTACTTTTCCATTTGACCCAAGGTCAAGGTGAAAGGTCAAGGTCAAAGTTCAAGGTCATTTGGTAAATTGCCATATTTTACACATATATAAGGAATTTCTAATGTTTTTAAATGACCTTGACCTTTGACCTTGACCTATATTTCAAGGTCAAAGGTCGAACATGCCCATGCAGTTGATCCCATGTCTCTAGGATACACCGTTTAAAAAAAAAGTTCATTAAATGTAAGCAGCGTAAACTTTCAGGGGCAGTAACTCATACAAGGGACCAAAGAATGCTTTCGCAATGATAGAATGAAGAGAGTACTAAATGAGTCGAAGACACTGATGAAGGTTTGGAATCTCTACGGTTTACGGTTTCGGAGGAGTAGCGATAACAAGGTTTTGTTGCACAAGGGGTGACAACTTTTGAATGGGTCAAGCTCGGGGGACAAGAATGAAATCTTTGAAATAGTTTTAGAAGGACATATTATAGATGCAAAGATATTCAGTATATGTTGAAAGACAAAAGAGATATTAAAAAAGCTAATTTTCTCATATTTTGAATGACCTTGACCTTTGACCTCTATGTAAATTTCAAGGTCAAAGGTCACACATGCCAATGCTATTGGTCCCATGTCTCTACGATTAATCGTTTAGAAAAAAATTAATTATTCGTAACCATTAAAAACTTTCAGGGGCAATAACTAATTAAAGGGGTTTATGCAACCTTTCGCACTGAATAGATTGAAGAGTCTACTAAATTAGTCAAAGACATTAGTGAAGGTTTCGTATCTCTACGGTTTAGGGTTTCGAAGGAGTAGCGATAACAAGCTTTTATTGCGAAAGGGGTTGTAACTCCTTGAGGGGTTAAAGTTCATATACGCAGGGTCAACTGTAAAAATCTTTTGCGAAGTGCATTCTTATGAACCATAAATCTTTTCGATAACTTTTAAAACAAAAAACCATTCGGCGGAAAAATAATAAAAATAATAATAATAATAATAACTAGATGAGATCTCGTTGCGAGCAACGAGTAGGTCTTCCGTCCGATTTTTCGAAAAGATGAGATATGATTTTGACTATGACCTTTGTCAAAAGATAATAATTTATAGACTTCCCTAATTAGATTTCATTCTTTTGATTTATATAACATTATCAAAGAGCTATAGATGACATGCTTTTG